CCCCCCAAGCCCCAACGTTTGTCTTTTAATTATGTTCTTTTTATCCTCCCATTTGCCGTCTATTTATATCGTCACATCCTTTGGTCCTTGATGGTTAGTCCCGAAATATTATATTTCCATGTTGTATTCTTAGAAAGCTTTCCGACTCTTTCGTTTGTTTTGGAATCACTCGTAGAAACATAACTCAATAAGAACGTCATTGTCGGCCTTTCCATCCGGGTGGATCGGATTTTCATAACCGTCCCCATTATTATGGTCCTCTGTGTCAAAGTACATATACTGCTGTGATACCGTCATCCCGATAACTTTTTGACATACCCCTTTGTAACGGTACAAATAGAAAGGATCCTTTGTGGGTAGAGAGATCGCGACTCCTGGGGGTGAGTCAGACCTGCAGCAGTAGGAAACTCGATAGAGACTGCCATTTACAGCAATATCTGGGACAATGCCATTTACTTGGGACGCTCTATCCACGTCTTCGTCATCCAGTTGGATGTATCCGTGAGAAAATGCATCAGGACATACATCGTTATATCTGTTTATACAGTAGGTACCTGAGGGCCAATCCGACCAGATCCCGACATTTGCCTTTACACAGAAATGTTGGTACATGAATAATTTTGAGTTGGAGCTCCCAAAGATGGGATGGAAAATGCTGTTCACAGTTGACACATTATTGAGATTTGTGGTACTTGATGATTCTGTGTGGATTTTGAATTGACCAATTCCCCAAGTGTCCCCATTGTTCGGGCAACCTGTATTTGGAGAAAGAAGTCCGTAAAGCCCTTTGGGCCACGCTCTTCTTTTCTGAACCTCCAGTCCTGTCAGCCGATGTTCCAAAGCACCATTGACATTCTCGAGTCGATTTACTGTGTTAGTATAGTTGTCTTTCTGTTCAGCGAATTTCTCCTGGAGATCAGTGATTTCCTGCTGGAGTTCTGCCTGCTCTCTCAGGAGAAGATGCAAAACTTGCGTTGCGGTGACTGTGTCTTCGACCACGAGAAGAACAGGAGAATTTCCAATGACCCCATCAGAGTTGGAGTCATAGCCCATAATTTGGCATTTATACCTTCCTAACGTATCCAATTCAGCTTTAGGCCAGTATACTTCTAGAAAACTGTCTGCTTGCGTTCCGATATGACCTCTGACCTTTAGACCAGTGTCGGAGGTCGGGGCGTTCGGAGATATGTCTCGAACTTGTGCAATTGACTCCCAATGACTTCCGTTGTCATTTTTTAGGATCCGGATTATTGTGATTTCGGCAAAGTCTAGATTAGAATATCCGACATCATATTTACAGGTCAAGGTCACATCAGTCGTGAGCCCCAATACGATGTGTGGGTGTGAGGCCGTCAGGTACCATCGTGCGTCACTTCCGCCGATCACGGCCAGGAAGAGAACTACACGAAGAACTGCCTGCAATGACAATAAAACACAACAGCTGGGATTCAATCAATCTTTCTGTATATTATGCACATGATTTACCAACACAGATAAAGTGTAGTTTGCAGATAAGATGTTGTGTGTGTGTGTGTGTGTGTGTGTGTGTGTGTGTGTGTGTGTGTGTGTGTGTGTGTGTGTGTGTGTGTGTGTGTGTGTGTGTCATAAAACAACCTTAGCTAACAGGTAGGTTTGAATTACCTGTCACAGTCAAGAGACTCGAGTTCGATTCCCGAGCAGAGAGAACATTTTTGTCGAGAATTGCGGTCTTTCTGCTGGGATATTGTATTCCTCCGGGTTGCCCATGATAGGTAGGATCGGAAGCCCGCCCCCTAAATTATGTAAATTATGTAGATGGTGGTTTAAAAACACCTACATAAAAAACCCACATACGTGTAATTTCTGGACCCCCCTCATCGAGGAGAGGAAATTTGCACTGACAACACTACATATTGTATTAACAATTTGCTGTTTTCAGAAAATACTTAAAACATATGGGTACGCCAACCCTTCAAAACTCTCCTCCTTTACCTAACCATTAGATCTATATGATGATAATAATAATATTATAATAATAATAATAATAATAATAATAATAATAATCATCATCATCATCATCAT